GAAGAAAAAGGAGACGGGCGAGAAAAGAAAAGGAAAAGCAAAAGTAAAGCAAAAGATGAGAAACTTCCTTCCCGTTCTTCTTTCTCTTCATCATTGTCATCATCGTCATCTTCTTTTTCGTCTTCATCTTCTTCTTCTTCTACTTCCAATTATTTTTGTACCCCTTTTCTATATGTGTTACGATTACAAAGATGCTGATGAAGATGATAATGTTTTCTGTATGTGCAGACCTCTTTTTTTTTGTTATTTTTTTGTTCCTTTTTTTTTCGTCTTTTTAATTTGTTTCTCACTTTAAAAACATTTTCTTTCTAATAGAGGGAAAAAAAGATAAAAAGCTAATCACGCTAAACTTTCTTTGTTATTTTCACTTGAAATTTTCTTTTTCTCAAATTATTTCTTATAAGCATCTATTTTTTGCTACTTATGTCTATTAATATTTTTTTTTCTTTTAACTTTAGTAATTTAAGCACAGCTTTTTTTTTCGACTTGATAAAATTGTCATTTTTTCTGTACAGTTAGAATGATGGTGATATTTGCGTATCTCAACTGTAGGGCATTTTGCTCAGAGTTGCTTCTATGTCTTGTCAATGATCTCCAATATGGGTTGTTATTGGGTTGAGCTATGCAATTTTTCTGGGTTTGTGGTTCCGAGTCAACTACGTGGCAGTTGTGAACAAATGTACGATCGACATTTTGCTGATCAGTTTTCCTTAACGAATAAGTAGGGAGATTATGGTCAGTTCGTTTGTTATTCAGACGAATTTTAGATACTTCTTTTAAACTTGGATGGTAGTATTTCGTGTTACTTTAAGGGAAGCTAAAGTGATTTTAGCTCGAAGATTATAAATTTGAGGCGGGCGTTATCAACTTTTGCTATCTTCTCACTAATCTAAACATTAGTTTTTCAGTAATAAAAGAATTTTAAATTTAACAGGTCTGATTATCAAAAACAATTTACCTGCTGTTGATGAAACAATACGTGGAGCATTTCGCCTGCATTGAAAACTGGTACTCTCTGTTTGAGAGTATCAGAATAGCTGCGGGCACTCCTCAGTTTCAAAATGGTCTTATCGACTAAAATCTCCATAGCTTCCTTCAAGGTTTTCCCCCAAGTAGTAATTTTCTCAAATAACGCTATCTGAACTTCTAAGAAATAATTTGAACCTTTTATAGTGGTGATCATTTTTTTCTCTAAGTGATAATAAAAATAACAGGCATAAAATCGTGTGGGGTTTTGATAACACACATATGTTGTTTGACGTATGTAGTGCTTTTTCTAGTTGTGCTATTTTAAGCTCTTTTTTGTTCATTTTGCTTCACTCGATAGCAGTTCGTGAAACAGTTGCAGCTATTTTTAGTGATCACTCTAACTTAGGTAACAGAAAGGGATTATGGAGTGTAGTAAGACAGAACAGTGAATGGAGAGGACAGGTGAATTTGCTGTCATTTAACAGTCTTGTTCTCATTTTACTTTACCGATTAGGTAAATTACTGACAAACGAACTGATTGTTTATTCATCATTTTTCTATTTGATCGCTTAAACGTTAGCATTATGGTTGTCGACAAAGTCAAGAAACAATTGTCGGTTTAGCGAAAATAAGTATTATTGTTGGACTGCCAGCAAAATGAATTCTGGTACTTGTAATGTTCATTGAACGAATAAGCAAAGTGGCTCAAACGAGCAATTGATCTTCGCATCTGTTTTCTTATGTATGCTGTTGAATTCCATGTTTGGTTGCCAGTAACTGTAACTGTCAGTGGTAACAGCAAATTCTTTCATTTCGATGAAAAAAGCGACTTTTTTATTTTCTTTATTATTCGTTGATGTACTGAATAAAATTGGTTTAACAGTTTTATTTCTTAACTACAGTATACTACTGCTCAGCAGCACCTATTAGTAACACAGTTAATAGCTGTGAATGTCACATATACAAATTTATCAGAGCACTACGATGCTGTCCGATCGTTTAGAACAAAAGAACTGCAAAGTTGGAACAGAATCCATGTTTTTTTTTCTTGGCATGAATGTAACACTTTGTATTGACATTCAGAAAACACTTGAAAGTTATACAGCTTCAGTGTTGCATTGATATGTTCAAATTTCGAGTAAGGTCTTTGACATCTTCTAATTACACTAAGTTTCCACTTCTTTTTTTATTTTACAGGTAATAAAAGTTCTAGTGATATGAATACTTAAAGTCGAAATATATATGCATGAATATTCACGCTTATTTTTTTGTGTTACCTTTTTTATCTTTATATGATCAAATTTCAACGAAAATTTTTCGGCTGCTCAGCCACTGTACCAAGTTTTTAATATACTTGTAATTTGTTTTTAGACATGTGTTATTTAACTTTATGCAGTTTTTGAATGTTACTATAAAAAAACTGTTTATGTAGATTTAGTATTTAGACCGTTCTACTGATACGTGGATCGTAAAGAAAAGATAAAGTACGCGAATTGGGATTGACTCTTTTTGTGGCGAATGAAGTTATGTATGTTTTGGACAACTGGTATTGTATAAATTTAGTGATTTTTAGTATTCAGAACAAATACATCGCTTACAAATGTTTATAACAAACTTATATTTACTGTTAAAAGAGTTTATTAGAAAAAAAGCCTAGGTTAAAAGTTAGCATTTTTTAATAGTTGATGACTGCAAAGTAGCGGGTCATCGAGGAAAATGATAGTCCAAAATTGTTTTCCGATTTTAACTGTTTAGTTTACCAAGTAATACAGAGGTTTGGTTTCTGTGCTTTATGTGATCTGTTGCGAAAAACAGGAAATGAAACTTATTTGCTAAGTAGCAGTCTAAACTGATTAGAAACCTTCAGCCGAAACAGTGGTATTAAATGTTGATTTTATGGCTTTGTTTGAGTAGAATCAGTTTGCAGAATACATTGTATCTGACTAAACTTTGCGTAGTCAATAATTTGGTTAATTTGACGTTGACTTTTTTCTTTGGATTAAAAGAAGTTGGTTTATAGTTTAGCGACATCAAAAGCAAATTGTCGTTTTGTTTTGTTCCATTTTACTGCTTCGTCTGCATTTTCTTCTTCTTTGTTTTCAGTTCCTTTTGAACGCTAATATACCTAAAA